CCCTCCCCAGGAGGTGCAGTGATCCCTCGCTTGGCACACACAGCCCTGCCCAGAGGCAGCACCAGGCTGAGCCTGCCTCCCCACGCGTGACTGGGTGTTACTGGAGCAACGTCCCCGTGGGAGGGAAGGAAGGAGGAAGCCGGACTGTAAAGAAATAAAACCACTGCAGAGCTGACTGCGAGAGGAGAGAGAGGAGGAGACAGGTTGGCTGGAAAGGACAGCTTTGCTGAGACCAGGAGAAAATGGTCTGAGTAATTATCAACGGTAAGGAAACCTCTCATTTGAGGCAAGAGAGCTTAGAGGGATTTCTGCACGGTAAATACTCTGCATATTTTATGGCCTTGGCTTGTGGGGGAAGAATGGCCTCTGCTGGAGCGGTTTGAGAGACAGCCAGGACACCAGACACAGTAAATCCCTTTTTGCCCATTAAATCCGGTTCCCTCCATTTCCTCTGTGACTTTTGGCCATAACCCGCCATGCGTCCAGCACAACCCCCAGCTGATCCTCCTCTGCGAGGACCCCCAGCTCATGAAGAGGTCCCGCTCTGGGCTCTCTGGGGAGGGTTTCTGGGGTAGCTCATGCTTTGCAATGCTGCAGCAAGCAGACGGGTCTCCCTTTTCCCGCCAGCCTGCCGCTATGTGGCCAGGAAGATGGGGACCCTGTGCAGCCGGGAGCACCAGGAGCCACCCCCCTGCCCAACGCAGGCAGCACCCCGAAGCCACCACCAAAGTAAGTCAGCAGCTTGTTGGGGACAGGGACATCCACACGCCTCAGCACCAACCACGCTGAGGATGGAAGGGCCAGGTCTTGCCTGGATGCACAAGCTGGGGGGTGAGGTGGCACCTCCTGTCACTGCCCACTGCCTTGGGCAAGCTGCTGCCCAGCCCACAGGGGAGATGTACTGGGTCCCCATCCCTCCCTGCCTGTGCTCCAGCAACCATAGTCTTCCTCAGAACCGGGCTTTTTGTCTAAGGATGAACCATAACAGGTAGAAATTCCAAAAGTTTGTTTTCTTTCCTGCTTTATCTTCCCTTGCTGGGTTTTGCCTTTAAATGTCATGGCTGCATTCCAGCCCCTGAGAGAGAGGATGAGCAAATAGCAGCCTCTGGAAGGGAGGACAGAGTTGCTCTGGGGAATCAGAGAGGTGAGTGGATGTAACCTACTGAAGCACCGCTTCCACAGAGCTACGTCTCCCTGGGGCAATCTTTGTTATTTCGGGCACCCTGCTAAATACCAAAATGCATCCGCATGCACCCCAGCTGGCAGTAAGAGATTTCTGTGCTTGCTGCCAGTCTTCCCCAGACCCTTCCTGGCCCATTTAAAACACACAAATCGCTATGACTTTGCAGACTACTCATGCAATGTCCCCGAGAGCAGCTGCTCCTCCTGGCTGCCCCCAGTTCAGCACAGAGGCTACAGCAAGGACCTTCCCGGCTCCTTGTCCCTGCCCTAGCTGTGGGGGCTGCTCCTGGCAAGGAGGGCTCACCAGGGAGCTGCTCCTGCATCACCTAGCCATGCTGCTCAGGCTTTAAAGCTCGCTGTCAAAATGAAATAATTTTTGAACAGCAAACAGAGGAATCTCAGCATGTGAAAAATCTGCCCCACCAATACCAGTTTCACTGGTTTGGCTGAGTCATTCCTCATTGCTCTTGTGCAAACACACGCAGAGCTGCACCCAGGCATGAGCACATTCCCCTGAGCACGTTTCCCGGCAGCTTCTACAGCGATCAGGTCATGCCCCATGGTCTCCTACCTCTGCCAGGAGCTTAGGGCTCTCACCGGAGACTTGCAGGAAAGATGTAGGGCTGAGCCATTCCCTCTCTGCTACTCTCGTGTGCTGTGTGCAAGGGGAGGAAAGGGAACTGCGTGCCTAGGGGGTCCTACAAAATCTCCAGATCACCTTTCCCCTAAAATAACACCTGGATCCTTAATGGGGGGATGAGGTGAGGGAAAGGGGATGTCCCCCTTCATTAATGCCTTAATTAAGTGCATACGAAGCAAAAGCAGAGTTAGTCATCTGGCCTGCCACGGGAGCTAGGACTTTGCAGAGGCCCCAAACGGGAAGATCAGGGCATGCACTCGGGTGTATTAGCAAGAGGACTCAAACTCCTCCTTCTCTGCAGTTAATTGCTGGGTGTTCAATCGCAGTCAGGGGAGCTGCCCAGGAGGCACTAGCAGAGGGTCTGGTCGGTGCCTTTCTGGCAGGTCAGGCATCCCGGCCCCTCAGCCGCTGTGGATGCAGGGGCCAGAGCAGTGCACAGGGTGGTCTGCACCTCTCTTGAGCATGGAGCAGCCAACAGCTGCGAGCTCTGTGGCACCCCAGGGATAAGCTGGCCCAGGATGGGGTGCGAGAAGCATACAGCTCAGCAGGGAACAGATCTGCCTGGGAAATGTGGGTGAGCTGGAGGCACCGGTGGTGTCTAGGTCACAGCTTGGAAACTGCAGAGCTTTATCCCCTCCTTGCAGCAAGGCGGGCTCTGCTGGAGAGCTGTGTTGTAAACCTGGCCTGACTCCCTTGCACTTACCTAGTGCTGCTTACAGCTCCCTTCATGAGGTTTTCCAAGCACCTTGCCAGTTCACACCCCAGCCTTGTCCCTTCAGGAATAATCTTTCCCCTTGGCTAATCCTGAATCCCCCTCTTCTCTCTGATGCTTGTGCATTTACAGATGTAAAGGCAGAGGTGTCAGCAGACCCCCAAGCAAGAACCTCCCTTCCCAGGAACAGCAACCCTGTCCAAGATCAGCCCTGCAGGTCCTGAGGGTAAAAGCCCTCGTGGTGCTCCCCTGAAGGCCACGAGCTTTCTTCCCATCGGTTTCCCCAGGAAATCCTGCAGCCCAGGGATTGGAAAATACCAGCAAATCCCTCCTGTATCTGCGGTCAACACAGAAGCACAATGATAGAAAACGTCCTGATCAGTCTCTCATTACTAGAATTTTCTATTTGGCAAAAAAAAGAGCTTGCCAATGTGTATCAGATGCTTCTGGCACTTTTGGGCCTTGGAGCACCACGGGAAGAGCATGAGCCATTGCATCCTAGCAGCAAATTGGATTTTTATATTGTGAAAGCAAATTATGCTCCCAATGATATTGGTATACATTCCATTTCCACGAAGGTAAAATCAGCTCCTGAGCTGGAGTACTCTCAGAGCTTAGGTCTGTGGAAATCCCATGATGTTTTGTACAACCCCTTTCCCCACGCCCAGTAAGCTGGTGAAGCGGTCTTTAGTGGGCAGCCAGCACCTCAGTGTGATGCACAGCACCCACAGAGCAGAGGGCTGCAGGGGCCGCAGTGGGATCCCCCCCTCCAGCAAACCCCACCCCGTCACAGAGAGCAATGACAGCAGAATCGCAAACTCCGCACGTGCGGGGAGGAACCTGCCCGACCCCTTCCTGTGACAGCCCAAGCTGAACCAGAAATAAAGATGGATGGAAAGAGGCTGGTTGGGAGTGTGGTGGTTTTTCTCCTGGAAGGGGGTTGCCGTCATTACGGTGTTTGAACAGACCGACACTTTGGATCGTACGTTGGCAGCACTCAGCTCGCTGCTGAGGCTTGCCTTGCGGCTCATCTGGGAGGAGATGGATCTTGTCTCACCATGGCTTATGACAGAAACAACAGGGGAGGGAGCAGCAGCATCCTGCGCCCCTGGGGAGAGCTGGCTGTAAGATCCTGGGTCTCCAGGGCTCAGCCGTTTGCTGCCACCCTGAGTGGTGGTTTGGCCTTCGGTACCAAAACTTTTCCGGTACAATGGCGGCAGGATGGGATGTGCACAACGGAGGGATGTGCACGAACTAATGACCTTAATTTTGAAACGCTCCTGGCTTTGTGCAGGGCAGGTATCTTGTGCTGAGCTTTGTTAAGGTGGGAGAGGCAAAAGCCCTGCCCAGGGAGCTGTGCGGCTCTGCAGAAGTTGGGGAGGAAGGGAGGGCAGGCTGGAAGGCAGAGAACAGACTCCAATCTCCCATGCACCCTCAGCCACAGCAAGGCTGGAAAACACAGACCTTAGGACTCTCTATCCTGACTAGTGCCACTTCCTAGGACAGCTATCATCACCAAACCCTGTGGTTAGGTGGTCAGGTAAACATCAGGGCATGCAGTCACCAGAGTTTCATGAAACTGCCTGGCTCTAGAGACAGAGGAGGACCCCAGCAGTTCTCCATTCATGGGCACCACCTGAGCACAAAACCTCTTGTAGGCTTACAGCACTTCGTTTCGCATTTTCCCAGGGGCTCCACTCAAATGCTGAAGTCTGCTCACCACTGGCTCCTCTCACATGCTCTGTGCTAATGCAGTGGGAAGAAGGGAGGAAAGGAAAAACAAAGGAATCAGCCTGTCCCAAAATGAAGCAGAAAGGGGAGTCTGAAAAAAGCCACGCTCCAGGATGCCCTACCCAGTGCCTTCTTTAAGGCTTAATCCCATGGATCATCAAGATGTCCTTCACCATCCTCCCAGGGCAGCAGCAGAAGCAGCAGGTACTGAGCACCATCCTGAGCTAGTTCAGTGGAAAGTTTGCCAAGTCATCAGCTGAGACATTATCCACGTCTGTCACAGGACATCGCTCACTATCACTGGCAACTACATGACAAAACATGATCCAGGGCAAACACCACATTTGCAACACTGCTATGCACAGATGTTCTGTGTCTTCCTTATACTAAAAAAACCCCACATACTTCCTATCTAATATCTGCAGGTATTCCCCATGGCTCCCTGAGGCCCCCAAGTAAAAGCAGTGGGTAATTTCCCAAGGGAAATCCAAGCTGTCCTTGGATTGTTTTGATCCCCACAACAGCTCCTTCACACCAAGCCATGGGGCAGGCAGAAGGTCTCAAAGGTAAGCAGCTTTCTGGTGAGCGTCTTGCATGTTTTATTAGAGTCGTATTTCCACTTATTCATCCAGACAAGTCCAGGATGAGCAATTGCAGCCCTCTCCTCTGCCCACAGCTTCTTCACACTCTTGTGTATGGACAGCTTTTATTTCTATGTTTTCCAGCTCCCTCCAGTCACCTGCCTGTGAACCAGCTCTGGTGTGTGTTGAGCGCAGTGGTCACGATGAACTGGCAGAGACAGGGCACGCTGCTGTCCTCCAGGTGTCCCCCTGCCACGGCCCGAGGGAGCCGGCCAGTGACCAGGAGCCGGACGTAGCATCCACTGAAGATCACCAGGAGCTGCTGGGCCATCACCTAGAATGAGCACAAGAGATGTCAGAGCATCTACCTGTGGGAAGAGTGGATGATACATTAAATACCATTTTCTCCCTCGTCCAAGGACTGTCCTTGTCTGAAAGAAACAGGACAGCAGTCAATGGCATATATAACTGTCCCAGATCCCCTTCTGGTCAGCAGTGCTGGCACACTCTCCCCACAGGGGAGTGACATGAAATGACCACTCAGTGGTGGGCGGACAGGGAGCCAGGCTGCTTGGGGACCTGCCTGCCCTGTCACTGCCTCCTGGCGCTTGTTTTTGCCTGCAGACAGCCAAAGAGCTTCAATCTGCAGGGATGTCACCTGCACCAAATTTGCTTAGTAACAAGCAAGCAGAAAACTGAAATAAATCAAAATCATCGCTTTTGAAGCTTCT